CTTTGTATTTCAAGCCCTCTGCGATATCCATATAGTGAGACATTCCAAATGCCGGAACTTGCTGAATGATAACTTTCACCATGATTGATGAGCGCCTAGTCTGACAAGAAAGCAATGTTGACTTGACTTTTATGATGAAACACTAGTAGTGATGTCATTCTTAGCCAATCAGTAAAGAAGATGTCTGAAGGTCAAAGATGATTGACACACTGTAAACAAAAGCATCGTGTGCCATTGTAGCAGAGAGAACCAATTTTTCTTGTGGCTTCATTGTGATTAGACACAAATTAAATGTGCTAAGCTGAAAGACAGTGAAATCCATGGATTAAAGTCCAAATTGTGTGCAACAACATCAACGAACTTCAGGACGAAGCTGTGGGAAATGTCCAACGGAAAACAGTGACACCACGGTTACTAAATCTTTTTTAGTAACCGTGGTGACACTGACCTGGATTTGAATGGCAATGAATGTACTAATAAAAATCTGAGAAGTTTTTTCAAACTATGAACTATCGTAATTTTTACTGTGTAAATTTGTAATTATTGATCTTGTGAGACAGTTGACCCGTAATTGGTCGAAACTGGAAATAATTTCATGCTGTTTAACCAGCGGCATTTTAGTTCATTTTAAGTTCACGCGTATAGGGCGTATTTATCGGCGAGGAAATCTTAAATTCAAATGATTCCTCAGTGTTCTTTTTTTATTATTTCTGGTTTATTTGTCACATTATAAGCAATAAATTAATGTTGCATATTGTTCATTTATTTCTGTTGCATGTTTTTATTTGCCGTTCTATTCTCTGCCACAGTTCGATCTGTGAATTGTCAATTTTCGTGAATTAAATTTGAATGTACTCACTATGATCAGTTTTAACCATTCTTTGTCACAACTGGTTCCATGTAATCAAGCTCCTGATTATCAAATATGACCCAAAAGCTTTGAGTCAACAGTTATGACCAGCAAATGAATTTTGGTGACAACTTTCAAAATTGGAATTAGCCACAAGCAAAAACACTAGTACAACTAAAGATGGGGGTAGGGAAGTTTTCTCCTGTGGGGCTCAGTATGGATTGTTGTACATTTTCTCTACAGTATTTTTTTTGAACGAATATTGATTAGCACATACTTTAATTACTTGTATAAATTGAAAATGTTTAATTGTCTTGTACTCGTGCCCTATCATTCTCAACAAAAACGTTCACACAAAATAACAGTAATGCATCTTTTAGTACGTGATTATGACCTGCCAAAACCGTTATAATACATCTAAAGTTCGTAACAAAGTGGCCCATTCCATAACGAGAAGATCGCGTGGATCTTCATTTTAAATTCCATTCTGATCTTTTTTTATCGGCTAGCTAAATATACTAGAGGTAATGTGGGTGGCGCAATAATTAACAAGTATAATAACTGTAATTAAAGGGTAAAATGGAAGTTCGTGAAAGTTACTTCCTCTTCGACTTTTTTGGGAAAACCCGCCCATACTATAGTTTCCGGAACACAGTGATTCAGCGCACTACATCATGACTTGACAACCAGTTCGAATATAGAAAAAGCCGGTAAATGAAACCACATGAAAAGATTACAATATGCTAAAGTTAGAATACATGGACAATATACTTTTATAACTATAGAGTCGACCGTTACCCTTGTAAATAGTCCGCTACTGAACTGCAAGAAAATTATGAGGTTTTACCAAAACAGCATTTTTTACCTTTCCCAGTCTTCTTGTAGCCGCCATGTTGCTTGACCCTCATGAAATGTATCCCAGCATGCTCAATGCATGAATTCTCGCGAGAACGGTGACGTTTCCCGTGCGAATGGAATCTTCTGCGGAAGTCAAAATTTAGTTTAGTACCTGCATATCTTTGTTTTGTTCCCATTTACCTTAATAGATAGTTATCGACTTGACTCTCACAGTTTATAGCACGGAGGTAAGTTCTTATAATTGAAATTTGAATGTGAGTTTCTGGACATTCTCGAGGTTTCATTATTCAGTTTCGTAGTTTTGACATCCATGTTTGTGCGCACAATAATGTGTGCAATATCTTATTATGACGTTCAGTGTCGCTGTGAGTTCATAGTTCTTCTTGTGTCTGTCTTTAGTCTCTGTGATAGTATTTGAGTCATTCCTGATATGTTTTGTGTCATTACATTTTTATTTTCAGATATTATTTTTTTGGACACAGAAGAGCTATGGTTTCTCCCGTAGTCTTGCTTATAAACATAAACGTGCGACGCCGAATGTCGTCGCAAGTAAAAGTCGAAAATCCTAATATCTAAAAATAACAAACCTAATGACAGAAAATGTATCGGAAAATACTAAATACTGACTAAAATACCATCACAAAGACTAAATCTCAACATGGCTATGGACCCACAGTTACGTTCCGTGACATTCTTCTCTTCTGTTGAGTTTAATACGACTTCGTTTTGTCTACAGATTGACATATGTTTTTTTCTTCGCCTTAGTTTTCAGAATACCAACTTGAATATTCCAGAAGGTGGATAAATATGTTATTTTCTTGATTATTTCCGGTGTTGCGATCAGCTGTTGATAGACCAAGGCCAATCAACCAGAAAAGACGTGCAATATGGTCACTGAAAGAAACTCCCGTACGAATTCGTCGCAGCAACCAAATCGGAGAAAATTTTGGTGCTGGTCTTCGTTATCGAAATCCAAGATATTCCGAACGGAAATGCATATGATGATAGATCAAGGTAGAGTGGTCCCCACAAAATACATATCAGGTATTAAAAGTTGCCTGACTTGTATTAAATTCAGTTTGCCTGTAAAGATGAAAAAGGAACTGTTTGAACGTTTATCACAGGAGACCACAGCGGCCATTCTACCACCATCCTCATCGGTCAAGAGAAGTCTTGTTTCCAGCGACTCTCGCCATAATACGCCGACCAAACACACAAAATTTCCAAAGTTGAAAAACAATGTATTTCTTGTTAGGGACAGACAAGGTCTAGGGAATGTAAATGACTCAAATGCGATTGAAAACATCAATTGTGCTAATAATGAGAACAATAGCAATGATTGCCAAGTTGCTTTTAACAACCATATAAATAATGAGTTTCAAGTGAATGAAATGGCTAATGCCAACAAAGATGAAGAACAACAGGAAGAGCTGCTAATATCTCGTAATAATGTCAACATTCAGCCTTTACAACCAATACCAAATTGCTGGCTTAATGCATATAACAATTCTCCAAAAAACAATGTAGAGGATGAAGATAGTAAGAAAAGTGTTTTTCATTGTGATTCACCCAGCCCCATGAATCAAATAGATAGACGTAGTAAGGATGATGAGGTCAGTCCTTGCAATGTGCCAATTAGCATGACGCCCTCTAATGCAAGTGTATCACCAGTAAAATACAGGTCAACACCAAATGTAAAACTTAAAACTTGCATGACATACTATGGTTCCCAGTGTCGATGGATTATGATGCATATTAAAAAAAACTCGGACTACTTCATATTTTTACCAGATCATGTTGTCTCGAAAATCTTTGGCTATCTACCAACGTGGGATTTGGCATCTTTAAAGTGCACTTGCAAAGATTTCAAGTGGGTTATTGAGGAATTCAACCTTGCCGGGATTGACTCTAAATGGTGCACCGATCCAAAATACCAGGATGATCCATGTATGCAATGTGGTAAACTTATTGACCCACGCGGAGATGTGTCATTGTGTAGATGGCATCCCAAGATGTATTACAAAAATGGATACATTGGACGTTGCTACTGGATGTGCTGTTTCAAACTAGATGAAGATGCGCTTGGATGCATAATTGGTCTCCATGACAATAACTGGATGATGAGGAAGGAGAAACTAAAAAGAATACCACGACGAACACAAAGAAAATATATGCCAAAGAGAGAAATAGACTATAATTATGAACTGCTCAGTGATTAACATGTTATATTTTTTATCTATACATATATATATATATATCTATATTTCTATATACATGTTTATCATATTGATATACTACTGGTATGGTGCTTTGTAATGATCTTTTGTTGAATACCATTCATATTAATTTACAATTTAATAGGACCATTATAGTTGAAGACTTGGCCATTGTACACAATTTCTTTCAACTAAAAATCATTCCAGTATTTGAGAATTTGTGCAAATTTTTTTATAAAAAATATCTACAAGTACTTTTGCTCCCCCTATGAAATACTACCACCGTACTATTCTCATTTCAATAGAGGCCTTTCCTGATTTCACTTTATGTAAAATATCCATTGTAAATAGAGAGACTGTTGAATTTTGTTTATGTGGACGTTCAACTTCAACCACTCAAGTATTGTAGTTGTATATTTTTTTTTCTGGTCCTCATGACTCGTTGGTGCACAGTAAAGTTGTACTGCACTGTCCAGAGGACAGTAGCTTACAAGCAGTTCCACTTCATTGTATCCCAGTATTCAAAGATCTTCCTAACTGGTTGTTTATCCCATCACTTTACAATGCAAACCATATATAGGTTGTACTTCTGCCACTTCTGCTTGATTGAATATGAATGCTCTATTGTGCGGTTCACGCTATTGTGTGTTAATATAATTCTGGCATTGTACATTTTCAGAATTTGTAATTTCATTCTGTTATGTCACTTCTATAGCCACTTTCCACATGAGTGTATATATTAGAGACCTGTTCATGACATGTTGTATGTAACGGAGCTATACATTTATATGCAAGAAAAGTGAGATGTAGATCCAGCATCTCTTGTGTGAAAACAGACCAAGCCTCACCACATCAAATTTTATCTCTTATAGAGATGCATAATCAAAACCTGTTGACCTATTGTCACCTCTATTTATTTCACTTTGGTTTGTTAGTTCCTGTTTGGTCACAGTTCGAAAACACCGTTTTGTGGATTGACATCTGCGTGTCTGTATGGCCATGCATGCATGCATCCAGACCTGTATCTTAGGCATGCCTGGACCGATTACATTCAAACTTCACACTTACTGCATACATAATATTATACATATGCTTGTCAATTTGTTTCATGATATGATTTAAGATGACTGAATGGAAATCGTTTTTGTGCTGAAATATCATCAAAATCAAGCATTTCTGGCATTCTGGAACCGGATCTTGTGAACTAACCATTGGTCTTGAGTTATTTTCATTACAAACAAATCATTTACTAGTAAGTGCAAAGATGGTAAAAATTGTTTTCAATGCAAAGTCCAAAGTTTTGACAATTAAGCTTACAAATGCTAGATTGTTGTGGTTTCTACTTAAGGGCAAATTGTCTTATAACCATCGTAATAAATCTTATGTACTTGTATGTAATTTGAAAATTTTGTATTTTTTACAAATTTTATTTCAGTGTTGAAGCCTGATTTGCTAATGTACTTCTGTCAATAAATAAATAAGAAATATTAATATTGCTAAAAAATAGTTGTATTTTTTGTTACGTTGTCCATATCATCGTACATGAAGGTCAAGTTGAACGAGTTGGTTGTTGTCGTTGACTCTGTTGTAAAACTATTCTTCTACATGTAGTTACAATAACTCGTACAGTCCTAGTCGAATTTCATTTAGACTAGGATATTACATTAAATAGTTCGTGATCTTGGCCAAGTTTGATTATAGTTCTGTGTATATAATTAGATATTTGTTAAACTTTTATTTTAGCATCTTAAAATTTGGGAATTGTATCAATCACTATGAAATGTCAACCAAGTTTTGGTGTAGCTAGTAAGTGCAGTTTTCGAGATACAGGGTATAATTTAGTTTAATTGAAACTAATATTACATGTTAAGTGGATAGAATGAAGATATTTATACAACTGACAATGAGAAATGCACGTTAGTAGTATGCTCTCTAAGATCTGTCAGTGTAGTGATGTACATTTTCATTTCGAGTATAAATATATGTAGTCTTATTGTTTTTTTCAATGCTTGCTGGTATTTTATTTTGCTATTATTGAACACTTTCGCTAGTATTTTCTCACAAAATTTTGCTTTATGTTGCTGTACTATTAATTTTTATAAACTTTTATACAATTCGTGTTATATTATTATATAAGGAACATAGAGATTAATACAGTTCATGTATTATGTGATGAACATGATTATTTTTTTTTTAACCACTATTTTTTTGCGCAGAGTATTTATATATTATTGCATTGTTTTGGGACATTTATATTCATTTTTGCCTTGCAAAGAAAAGATTGGACATAATTTGCATATATATAATGTTGTGCTAATTTGCATAATTCGTTTTAGAAATGTTGCAAATATTTTCATATTCTCAAAATTAATAAAACAAAGATGCTTATGTAATACATTTGAAAACCCATTTTTAGCAGCTTTTAATAATATTTGGTTGAAAAAAAATTTCAGAAATATTGTCCATTTACAAAAAATGCCTTGAAATTGTGTCGGAAGCAAAATCTATACGTATACGGGTGTTGAGGCAGGTATACAATAGTGCAAGCATCATTGATGCCCTTGCCGTTCTTTAGATTCAGGTGTAGTACTATAAATATATTCACTTTTCAGCTCTGCTGTCGACAAATTTGTTCATTTTGTGATGATATCTTTAATTCTCTAATTTTGGTGAATATTTTTGGTAAAAAGTGATATTTTTGACTTCTCGTAAAAAATCGCAAGTCCGATTGCTTTGATATTACATCGTACATATATAGGTACTACATGTGGACCTCTCTCAGATTTGTTCATTTCATAATGATATCTTTAATTCTCTAATTTTGGTGAATATTTCTGTCATTTTTGTTAAAAAGTGATATTTTCGACTTCTTGTTAAAAACCACAAGTCCAATTGCTTTGCTATTACATATATAGGTACTACATGTAGACCACTTACAGATTTGTTCATTTCATTATGATATCTTCAATTCTCTAATTTTGCTTAATATTTTTGTCATTTTTGGTAAAAAGTGATATTTTCGACTTCTTGTTGAAAACCGCAAGTCCGATTGTTTTTATATTACATATATAGGTACTACATGTGGACCTCTTTCAGATTTGTTAATTTCGTGGTGATATCTTCAATTATCTAATTTTGATGATTATTTTTGTCATTTTTGGTGAAAAGTGATATTTTTGAAAACAGCAAGTCCCATTGCTTTGATACTATACATAATGCTCATTTTCTAATGATATCTTCTGTTCTTTAATTGAAATGTGCGTTGCTGACAGCGGAGCTATCTCAGCCGACAGGCTGCTTGTCAGATTCTAATATGCTTATTTTTACGTGATAACGGCTCAGATTGGGATGTTCGCTTAAATAATGGGTCACCCAATTATGTTACACACATCCTTGTTCGTTATTAAGATAATAATGCATCCCCCTACTACAGTGCCATTATATAGTGGATGAAGAGAAAGATCAATGAAAAGATGGGAGGCAAAGCTGAATAAAATTTTCAAATTTTATTCAATTGAGTAGGCATCAATTCACAACAAAAATGTAGCTAACAACAGTAGTTCTTGAGAAAATTACAAAGTAATTACGCAACCACAAACGTTGCCAGGCTTTGTTGGCAGGTTTTTCATCAGAGTAGTTGTCATAGCCTACTTTGACCAAATTTACAATTTTTATGCAAAAACATTAATGTTCTTCACATTTTTAGCTCCGCTGTTGACACAGCGGAGCTGTTCATATTACTGATTGTTCGGCGTTGTCAACTTTACAATTTCAACTTCTTCTTCGAAACCGCAAGTCAGAATGTTTTCAAATTTGATATGCAAGTACCTTGGATGGTTCTTTCTCCGATTTGTTCATTTCATGTCAAAATCTCAATATTTTCGACTTGTAAAAAAACGAAAGTCCGATAACTTTCATATTACATATATAGCTTAGTACCTATATATGTAGATCTCTCTCAAATTTGTTCATTTTGTGATGATATCTTCAATTCTCTAATTTTGATGAATATTTTTGTGATTTTTGGTAAAAAGTGATATTTTCGACTTCTTGTTAAGAACTGAAAGTCTAATTGCTTTGATATTACATATATAGCTACTATATGTGGACCTCTCTCAGATTTGTTCATTTCGTGATGATATCTTTAATTCTTTAATTTTGATGAATATTTTTGTAATTTTTGGTAAAAAGTGATATTTTCGACTTCTTGTTAAAAACCACAAGTCTGATTGCTGTGCTATTACATATATAGGTACTACACGAGAACCTCTCTCAGATTTGTTCATTTCATGATGATTTTCTTCAATTCTCTAATTTTGATGAATATTTTTGTAATTTTTGGTCAAAAGTATTATTTTTGAATTCTTGTTCAAAACAGCAAGTCCGGTTGCTTTGATACTATACATATTGTTCATTTTCTAATGATATCTTCAGTTCTTAATTGAAATGTGCATTGCTAACAGCGGAGCTATCTCAGCCAACAGGCTGCTTGTTTTTACTTGTCACATTTTTCTGAATGTATATATTATTGTGCATGTAGAACTCTATTACAGATTGCTCTCACAAAACCGCTCTCTAATTGGTTGACAAGCCCTGGGGAGCTGACTCGACTGTCTCAAGACCCACATTCTTTTTGTTTGCATATTGCATATTATTGAATAAAAAAAATAAAGTACATAATTAAAATACTCATTACATCTTTAGCATTTATCAGGTCAACAACAAATATTTATAGCATGGTAAACGCAACTCCAAGATGCCAACACCTGCACTAAAGTTGGGATATTTTTTATCGTTGGTTCATATATTCTAATAGTAGTACTGTATTATGTATCATTTTTTTTCTGTAAACGTTGGTTGTTGATTGGTTTTCAATTTCACCCAATCAGACTTGTATTGAAGTAAATTTCATGTAATATATATAGATGCGTAAATGAGGTTTTTTAAGATACTTTAATGTTTTTCAATTTTATTTATCGAGGATTCATGTTGGTAACACATGATTTCAACCATAGTCCCCAATGTGCACTACAAAATCCTCCATTGATTGCATCAGCACTATGATATTTCAAAACATGTCTGGCAAAAAATTCAAAGTTGAGTACCAAAGTTTTACCTGAGTGGCCCCTCAAGACTATCCTCCACATGTGCCAGAGAATAATTACTAGTACATGTATACCTAAAAAGAAAAATACCCATCCGTCTAGATTTGTTTCGCTTTTTAGAGGTACAGAGTGTATAAAAGGTCGACTAGGTCAGCCTCCAGTCTGGAAAAGAATTGACTTTAAAAGGTGTCCTTCAAGCATAACACAATCGTTAATTCAGGCGAAGGATGTGACTCGTACCATAAACAACAGATGACAAAATGAAATAAAGTCTGTAAAGGGGTGTACAGTTTAGTATGGTTATCCAGTGGAAATACTGGCGGTACATATTGCCATGGTGGCACCCCAATGATGGCACTTTTGATGAAAACCAACCCAAGATTACTTCAGTTTTATTTTATAGCACTCGTGGCAGTATATATATGTCTGTACTTTCGCCCACTCCTTGGCTTGACAACTGGCTTTAGTCTCATTCGAATGGCTGCCCTATAATCTATTAGCTGTGGGGTTGACTTGTGCCCTTTCTTGTCGTTTGTGACCTTTCTTACCTTTTCATCAACCTTTTCACGATTTTGTCGGCACAATTAGTAGAAGAAATGTGATGAAAAGTCCAAAATCTCACTGAAAAAAGGACATAAATGACGAGAATGGCACAATTAGAGCTATTAACTTAATGAACCAACAGCAAGGAATCTATAAATTTTTAGAGATATTTTAGATACCTAAACAATGCTAAATTCTTTTCACCGTTTGTGAATATCTCATGATACAATGCCCGGAAGTTTCGACTTCTAATCCAACACTGCAATTGTGTAGTTGTAAATTTCCTTCTAACGTATTAGATAATCCAGGCGCTTATATATGGTGTGAAGTTCAGGGGAATTGATAGATTAAATCGAGAAAAGAAAGATTTTATTTAAAACTTGTCTGACAATTCTAGCCACAATATACCCATGATACTAACAGACCTGAATAAAATACAATACGGAGAAATAGCGATGGAACTATTTTACTATTTTTAAAAATACTACAAGGAATAAATAGTTTTGTTCCGGGTATATACCGCCCATGGTTAACATTTGACGTACATGGACACAAATTTCATTTCCGTAAACGAGGTAGCTGGATCGACATCGACATACTTTTTTTTGCATGTAAAAGATGTTAGGTTCTTTTACAATAGGTGATTTTCCGTACAATTGCGAGATCTCGCGAGATGCATGAAAGACGCGCGTCGAACGTCTGCCGCAAAAATCGAACGATTTGATTTTGAACTCGAATTTCCTTATTGCGTAGCTCACACCGACCGGCCAATCTTCGACAGAAGAATATTGCTTCCGAATACCCTTACTTAATCGAAATTGCCTATCATCAAATGTGGACAGCACATTATTAAGCATGGAAATGTCCCCAAAATACTTTCGCGTTTGTCGAATCCCACGCGATGTTTGACGCGACTACGACGCTATGACCTTTGTTTGTCCTGTTTTTACGTTCGATTTCACGCATAACGCGTGATTCTCGCAATGTACGGAAAATGGTCTATTACAAGACCACACGTTATGAACAGGTTTCACGTTTAAATGTTATAGGTATTTTTGGGTGTTAGAATATCGAGTCTCATCAAAGGCAAATATGTATGCTGAGTTTCTTGTTGTGCATTTATTTCGTTGAAGAGCTAATGTTTGAAATAGTATAAGAGAATTTATCTAACACAAGTTACTACGTGCGATCAGATCTTTTTTTTTATTCTGTCAAGTGTCAACGTTGTTATTTTTTAGTTACTAAGTTTGAAACTTACAAAAACTTATTGATGTTCTCTTTGTATTCAACTCAAAATGGCACATGAAGGTAAATTCAAACAAAACGAAAGTTATAAATTTTCACAAAGGCGGGACATCGTCCTAGATTTGACTATTGGTTTTACGGTACTACACAAAATAGTGTCTCGTATATATTTAAGTTTAACTCTTTCAACGCAAAATGTTTGGTTTATTTTACAGCTGTCAACAACTTGACCAGCTGCTAGGATGCTTCTCAATTCGCGCATCGGAAATCATTTACTAACTAGTATACTAGTTTGAAGTGCCTTAAATGAAGATCAATGGCAGTTGTGCAGATGACTGTTGGGAATATCAAGGCAAACTACAAATGTCATTGTATTGGTGAATGTTACCGTCTTCATCCACCTGTTAAAGCGTTGTATTCCTGTTAGTTTGACTAGATCTGTTTACTGGAAATGAAAAATGAACGAATGTAGATGATGCACTGGGAAGGCATACGTGGGTATTCGTATGGTTTCGGGTATGTGTGGGTTGTATGGGAAATAGGAAATAAAGTATTTCTGTCACAATTCGAAACTATAGCACGTAGAGTGAATTAAATAGAAAGTTTAATTAAACAACATGTCCACTAGACGGGAAGTGTTTGCAGTCCGGCGTCGTATACCAAGCGGAAGTTACGCATTTAGACAAGCACACCAGTGAAACGTACGTCGGACTTACTGGTAATGAGTTCAAAACAAGATACAGAAACCACACGGCCTCACTTCGCAATCAGGCCTCCAGAAATGCGACAGAACTAAGTAAACACGTCTGATCACTCAAAGAAAAAGATATTGAATATAAAATACTAGTACAATGGAAATTCTTGCTCGCGGTAGCCCGTATAATAGCTCCAGCAAACGATGTATTTTATGTTTGAAAGAAAATTCATCATAATTTTTAGACCCCACCACTCACATTAAACAAAAGAAATGAACTCGTGTCATCATG